GAATCAAGAGGCGAAAAACATTCAATTGGTCAATCCAAATTTTCTGGTAAATCATTTCATCAAGATGAATATCCAGGTCCTTATGACTTCGATTGGCCTCGAAATACATTTCCAGCTCCTCTTCCAACGGATAAACGCCCTGAATATTATGCTCCTGAAAAATATTTTCATATCAAAGCTCAGGTGGAAAAGATGAACCAAGAACTTAAAGAAAAACGAAACAAATATTGTCAACTTATTCTCGAGAAAGTTTATCGTAATTTGATTTCATCTCCTGATGTTTACAAATTGAATTGTGACAATATACCTAAAGGTTTATCAGCTTCCAAAGTTATCCTCGAGGATCTTCATGAGATAATAACAACAATTAGTTGCTCGTTATGTGAACACATTGTTATTGAGCCTCTTCGGTGTACATCATGTGACAAATGGTATTGCCTTGAATGTGTAATTTGGTTAAGAAAAGTTGTTGTCTCTCTTGGCTTCAGCCAACCAAATGAAAAAACTAAGGCCATTTGTATTGTAGTTGATTGTGTTATCAAATTCGCTCCGATCAACGATTATCCTCAATTCACTAAAGTGATTCGTGGTCAAACTATTGATAAATATAAAAGTGCAATTTTCCTCTGTCGCCGAAATTGTTGTAATCAACAAGTGAAATCAATTGAATTTTATGAACATGAGAAATCATGTAGACGAGGATTGATAAAAGACGATTATGATTTCAATCTTATCGAACAATTTAAACATGGAGAAATCCTGAAAGTTTTTACCAATCAACCGAAATCATTAATTTCTTATCTACCTGTTCACCTCAAGCCACAAGCATCATGTGCCTTCGATTCACCAACAATTGATCACCACAAAACTCATGAAGAAAGAGTCGCAAGGAAATTTTACAATTATGCTTGTGTAGCGGTTGAGAAACAAAATAACCCTGATGATCCATTGCTTAAGCCATTGGTCATAAGAAGTCAAATTTCCAATGTTGGAACTGGTTATACCAATTGTTGGTTACGAGGAAAAGATCCTCATCATCCGATCAGTGAAACAGAAGAGATAATGAAAGATCTTGGATTCGATCCTGTTGTTGGAAAATGGCCTGAGCCCGGAACTTATGTTCGTCCGAGAACAATTGAGTGGGTTGATCCAACTAAAAGATCAACAGTTCCTGATTATTTAATCCGAGCCTCAGCAGCTTGGGCAGCTTATGCTGAAGGTAAACCAAGACAATGGAAAGAAAACCAGAGTTTACCAAGAACATTCCATTCAGATCAGTACCCATTCATTAGAATTGACCCTTTTTCTCTCATCCCCGAAGCTGAAGCTCGTGAATTGGAAATGAAGATTTTACTCATGTTTCCATCTATTCGAGATGTTCGAAGGCCAATTCCGAGTTCAACTGGAAAAGAATTGGTTCCGATTCTTTCATCATCATCATCATTATCATCATCATCACGTTCATCTCATCCATCACGTCAATGGTATAAAAACTCAATGAGATTAGACATCAAGAGTCTTTAAAGACATTTAATAATTTAACAAGAATCAATTTACCGAAACTTCCTGATGATTATCAAAATCAATTAACTGATGGAATGAAATCTCACCCAAACCCAAATTTAATCTTCAGTATTAACATGGCTTATGCTGGTGTGTTTGAACGATACGAAGTACCTCAAGGTATCATTGAGAAGATTAAACAAAAACCAGTTTGGGTTGTGATTGTTAATGGTAATCAAGAGATCGTGTATGAAACTTTAGTTAGTCATCCACAGATCGAGATCATGGAGACTGAATATCATGGATTATTCAGATCTGATATTAAACATGCCAAAAACCTTCAAAGTGTTGTTGATCAAGTAATACCTTATCTTGCAGTGGCTAAGCAATTGGTTGGATCTAATCTCATTTTACAATTAAAAGCTCTCGGACTTAGTAAAGATGAAATTGATCGGTTAAGACCAAAGATGAGAGAAATCACTCAACACTTTTCACCATATCGCTCAAGCGCCTGTCCCTCAGCTTGCTTTTCTTGTGTTTAAAGGTTTTACCATTGAGGTCAAACACATTCCCAGTTAGTTTATGTTGCCATGCAACTCTATTTAACCTTTTGGCCAGAAATAGAGGAAAAAGTTATGAAACTTAATGATGGTATTCATAATAAAAACGTTTTAATTACCTGTGGGAATCGACGAGTTGCTCGAGTTTTGGATGTTTACTCATTGAGAGTGACCGAAGGAAAAGCCGAGTGGCCTGAAAATTGGTCTTACTATGGTAATCCAAGGACAAGGTCAACACCATCATTCAATAAGGATCAATGTGTGGAACCTGATTCATCAAATCCATTACCTTTACCTCCCATGAATTTTGAAATTGAGGAAATTGATGATGAGGATATCGACACTTTAGCTGTTGTACCTTTCAGGAATCTTCATATCAATGAAATGTCCAATATTCCAAAGGATGGGTCAAGGTCTTAAAATTGGAGAACTGAAGGGTAGCTCAAGCTCTACCTTAAGGTTGAATCCCTTGGAATCTTTTCACATTTAATTTTCATTAATTTTCATTTTTCTTTTCTTATTTAAAACAATTAACATTTTGATGTGAAAACTTGAGTTAATCTAATTAATCACTATTACCAATTACTCATGTTTAACCAAACAACAGAAAAGACAACAGACTAAAGTCTCCAATTTCTGTTAACCTTATGGTTTATCCTTATATGGTTAAGCCTTTTGGCTCCTTCTCTTTTCTTCACTCACGTGATTACCAAGAGTGGGTAATATTAGGCGCCAAAGTAAACAAAAGGAGACGTTTTCTTTTCTCTTGTTCTTCCCCTTTTTCTTTACGTTACCCTTGGATACTGGATAAGCTTAAGCTTAATCTTTATCTCCCTTTCATATATATAAGAAAATTACTTTAGTAAAAAAGAGTTAAGATTTAGATCTTATTGAAACAAGATTAATTTTCCACTTTTGTGAATCTTTTTTAATTGTCTAAGTTTTAAAACTCAAATGTTAAAGAAAATTACCATTCTTATTTGTGTTTATCTCTCTTACATTTACTTAGTTTACCTTTTCTTATTAAAGTTAATAAACATTATTAAGTTCAACGGAAGTGATTAAATCGATTCTTAAAGTGTTCAATTGGGATCCTGTATACGAATCTTATTGACTTGATAGTGAGGGCAAGTCGGAATCTCCATTGAAAATTACACCTAAAGCTTTAGCTTAAAGAAGTTTATTCCATTCGGATATCACTTGAGTGTATTCTTAAAATTGTGGTGATAACCATTTCAGATTAACTTTAGTTGATCATCATTTTTACCTTTCGGTAGTAATTTAATTTTACTTTTCCCTCAATTTTGTCGATAATTATAATTATAGTCTAATTAGCATCATGAACACTTTTTTTTTCTCTTCATCTTATTCATTTGGCTGGTAAACTCTTCCAATATGTTATTAGAAGGCACTTATCGAATATGAATCTGGATTAAGAATTAAACCTTTACATGGTTCGTAGAGTTAATTATTAATTGTTGGAGAGAAACTCGATATGAATTCTCTAAATTTGTCCATATCAATATTTCATCAAGTTAATTCTTGTAAATGTCAACTCAAGTGACTCGGTGAGTTAAGTGTTTCAACTCGAGGAAAATCAATTATCAATCATTATCTAATTACCTTTAAAATTGTTCATGACAAACTCAGAAATTATCATAATAATTATGTAACATAATGGAAGAGGAAAAAAAATTAATTACAGTTAATTTGATGAATCAAATTCATGATAACGAAACAAATGAAGAGGAAAAAAACAAATTCGAGAGAGAAAACAAATTCGTAAGTTCTAACAAGTTGAAGTAAAAGTTTTTTTTTTCTCCTTTTTTTCCCTTTGCCAATTACAATAAGACTCGAAATCAGTTTAAGTGTTTTTTTCTTCTTCTTTTTTCCATGTTCATGGAAAACCAGTGGCTCAGTTTATTTCAATTACTAATTCTGATTCTGATTCTGATTGTTATCTTAATCATCTAGTTAATATTATCTTTTAATAATATTGTAATATTTTTCTTACTTCAACCTTCACTTGAGTAAAAGCATTTATATTGTTGGAAATATAATACAATAAGTAGATTGAGTTGAGGGGAGAAAAATGTATTGTTAATAACATTAGAATTAGAATTGATGGTTATCATGGAAACGCAAGAATCGAGGAGAAAAAACGAAAAAGAAAAATTCTCTCGAATTTCAAACTTCGAACTCTCTCTCTCTCTCTCTCTCTCTCTCTCTCTCTCTCTCTCTGTTTCCTTTCACACACTTTTTCTCATTCTCCCTCCCTCCCTCTCTCTCTCTCTCTCTCTCTCTGGGCTTTTTTTGTTCTAATTTAGACCTTGAATATAACAGAAAATTTATTTCATTCGATAATCATTGTAGCTTTAATCATGATAATTACCATGAAAACAATTACAATTGGAAAACAATTGATGGTGAAAATGAAAAGAAATGAACAAAAAAAAAGAAAACTAATTATCGCTAATCATTTAAATTTCGTGATAGAAATGAAATTAACTATTATGATAATATTATTAATAGTAAAGTTTAACTACACAAATCAATAGTTAATAATGAATTAAATTTTCATTGTGAAAAAAAAAGTTAGATTGATAAAAAATAATAATCAGCATCATGTCAGTTGTGATTATCATCATGGTCAATCTTTAACTGGACACATATTATTGTCAAACTCAAAAGAGACTTCATCAAATGATCAGGTCATTGAACAATCAGATAATGATGAAGATGATGAGTAATCCATTCATGGTGTTTACCCTGAATTTTATATCAACTCAAATAAATGACAAAGATAATGATTCAAGGTTGATGAGGTTAACTTGAACTGAAGGAATTGATGATTGATGGAAGAAAATATTTTCCTCTTTCTTCTCTTACTTTTACATTCTAATAAAGTTTTGTGATAAAAATCTCATGAAAACTCACCTTGTTTGTAAGAAATTCAGCAGCAGATTGAATTGAACAAGCAAGAATATCACTTACATCCAAGTAAGCCTCTTGTATCTCCTGGAAAATGGGAAAGAAATGAGCAAAAAGTTTCAGTATTAGATAAATGAACTTTTCTACCTCCCAAAATTCAATGAATCACTTTGAAAATGAATAATGAATTTTTGCCAACATGCAAATTCATGAGAGTTTATTAATTGTTATTGCCAATTTCATGATATCAAAATTTTACCTCCAATTGGAATTTAATAACTTGGATAGTTGAAATGAGACAGAATATTTGATAACTTCTGACGATATGATTGAAGATGGATTAAAGATCTGTGTCAACTTCATATTTATCCCAAAACTCATGATAAGCTCTTTTTTTCTCAATGAATCTCATGATATTGATGATGATCATCAGCATAATAAGAAGGTAAAGATCAAGATGAACAAAAAGTGAACATCATCTTCCTTTTTTTTCAGATCTTTCAGCATATTGTGATAGGAATGATGATGAATCTCATGTATAAATGATGATTATCATGATAATGATGAGAATAGTTTTATATATATATGAGATAAACTGAATAGAACAGGAAAGAAAGATTAAATTACAAAGAATGCTGATCTTTTCATCGTCATCATCATGATCATCATCTTCTTCATGATATAATCTTAATCTCCATTCATCATATAAGCATCATGAATATTTAGTCCTCGGTGAAAATAAAGCTCGCGGTTTGATTGGTTGATTATCTAATGGTGTTTAGTCAAAACATTGATTACACCATAGGTAAGGTTATTTTTGGTCAACTCGCTTTCGAGAAACAATTATAATCATGGTAATTGATATTCATCATCATGGTGATTAACATGATACAAAGGAATTTATCTCTAATCTTAATTTCCATTGAATGACTAATGGCTCAGAGATATTGATTGTTAATCTTTCTCTCATGAATGACTGATTGTTGACATTTTCTTTCTGCTTTTTTTTTGGTTGTTGCTTATGTTGAGTTCTAGTTGTTCAAATTCTGAGCTTCAACCAAATCAACAGAAACAAAAAAAATCAGTAAATCACAATGACAACAATTGGAAAAACATCAATTCCAAATGAAAATCTCGTTGATCTAACGCTAATTGTTCATTGATTGGGTTGATCTTCTTGAACTCTGGTCAAGAACTTACCTCGTAAATGTTGGGAAGTACTTCGCCAATGTATAATTTCAGCATCCCATTGAAAGCGTGAAGTTGATGAACATAATTATTATGAGCATCGTAGTAATTAATTAAATTGCTCTCAGTTTGTTCAACACAAAAGTTATCATAAGCAGCAACATAATCTGATTGAGTCTAGATAAAGTGATGGTGTTAATTGGATCCATTTGAAAAGTGAAAATTTCCACCAAAGTATATGACCAGAATTCACCAAGTTGTTGATAATGAAAAGATCGAGAGATGAAGATGAGGATGAAAAAGAAGAAAATTTAATTAATCATCTCAAGTCCGTATCAATGTAAATTCACTTTCGAAATGGAATCAATTACAGTTATACAATCAGCTAATTGTCTTTAATTAATGCTCACAAGGTAAAGGTTAATCTATTTTATCATGGAAAGTAAGAAGAAAAAAAATTCAAGGCTACCAAATGATCCTTAAAGTTAATGAGTCTCTTACATTGATTCTGTCTCAATGATGATGAAGGGTAGAAAAACATGAAATCCTCAGTCTTTCCTTTTCATCACTATTATGATTTGGAAACAAATTTAAAACTTTTCTAAATTTTTATTCTGTTCTCAACAATTAGTTAATTGTTGTAATTTTCTTAATTTCAATTCTTAAATTTCCCCATTGTTAAAATTGGTTAACCCACTCCCATAACTATAGTTATAATTTTCTCAATTGTTAATTCAACAAATCAAATTGATTAGAATCCTAATTAATTGATCTAAATAATTAAGAGATTATAATATCCCAACTTAATTAACCAATAATAATTAATCAAAATTTCAATCTATATCTCAAGATATAATTATAGATGAAGTTAATTAAAATAATTAACTGAAATTTCTTAATTGTATTAACCTAAATCTCTTCATCTTAAGATGACCAAAAATTGGTTACAAAAGTAAGAGACCCGATTTTCTCTTTCTCTCTATCTTTCTTTTTACTTTCTTTTGTTTTTTAGGAAGATGTATTGTTAAGCCTACAAGCTTATCTTTAGTTCATCTTTATCTTAACCATTTCGGTTAACCATATTTTTCATCATTGTCGAGACATAAGACAAAAAGTTACTTTGTAATAATTGTTTAACCTCATCACTAATGTGATTAATTTGGTTAATTTGATTTAATTGTGTTCCCCCAATTTAATTGTTACCCCTTCCTCATCATTAATTGATTCCCCTTTAAATTGTTACCCCCTTGTTCTTTATTCTAAAAAAGAACTAATTTTCCCCTTTGTTCTTTAGTCGTTGTGATTTTCCCAACTATTCAAGTTGATCTTATTTTCTCTACAACGTACTCTAATTAAAATTTCAATTAAGTTCCATCTAAATCTTTAACAGTTAATGTTTAATTGTTACCTTGAATTCTAAAGAATTATCGAGTTTAAATGCAAGTGCTTAACATTGAGATCAATAGATCAGTAAGTAAAGTGAGTGACACAATCCTAAAAGAATCTTGTATTCGGTAAATTTTGTGGGACCGAAAATCTTCTGTTTCCTTCAAGCCTAAAGACTTAATCTGAGTTTCATCTCAATCCATCCGAGTTTCATCTCAATCAATCTGAGTTTCGTCTCAATCTTAATCCATCGATCTAAGTGATCATCTAAACCTCATCATCTCAAATTTTCCCCCACAAATTGGCGACCCAGGCAGGATTGTGTTCATTTCTCCCTTTGCTTATTCTCTTGATTTACTCAGCGTGAAAACGTTGTTTCCAGTGTTTTGTGTTTGTGTTTTCTGCTCATCCAAAATTCTTTTGAATTATCTCCATCCATCCATCCATCTAACTCTCAATCAAAATTCTACGGAATTAAAATCAATCCATCCATCTAAATTTCAACAAATCCATCCATCTAAATTTCAAATAAAATTCTACTGAATTATCTCCATCCATCCATCCATCTCTCCATCTAACTCTTAACCAAAAAATTCTATTGAATTAACTTCAATCAATCCATCCATCCATCTTTCAATCAAAATGCCTCCTAAGCGTTCAAGAATCGCTGCTATTACTCGTGTTGCTGCCGCTCGTGCTGCTAAAGCTGCGAAAGCTACTCGTCGTGTTACTACTACACCCGAACCTGAACTTTCCGAGGATGAAACTCTCATCCCATCACCTCCATCTTTTAATGATATTCAAACCCCGGTCAACCCTCGACCACCCACTCGTGTTTCTACGATAATTTCCAAACCCAAATCTCTCAGAGATCTCACATTCAACGAGATTCTCGAACTTTTCCGTCTTTGGAATGTTCCAATTCCAATTCGTTCTCTTGCCATGAAACGACTTACTGACATTGTGTCAACTAATTTCCTTCTTCTTGGAGAAACTCTAACTTCAGAAGAAATTCAATCTCTTCCTATTGAGGAAATAAAAAGCCAAAACCTCCCAAATTGGCTAACAGAATTTCGTACCCAAAATATCTCTGAACCTGAAATTCAGAATTTCATAAAAAACATTGGAAGAGAAAACGAAATTATTTTCAATCTCTCCCACTCAGAACTTTATGCTCTCCCTCTCTCTCTTGGTGTTCTCTTAAAAATAAAGAACATTTTAAATTCTCTCGGTGCAAATATTACCGATCCATCACCTCCATCAATCTCTCCATCTGTCAATTCAAATGACAATTTAACACCTTCAACTTTCTTCGAGTTAATGAAGCAGTTGAAAACGGATCCTCATGTACCCGAATTCCGTTCTGGTGAAGACCCCTATTCATGGTTGGTCAAAACTAAAGATCGTTTATCCAAAGAAAATGTGGATGACGAAACCCGATTACGACTTCTCCAAAAGTCTATGGCTCATGAGATAAAAACAAGTGCCACTGGTTTAGACGATATTACAAATTACCAAGAATACGTTGATGCCCTCTTCGAAAAGCTAAAGACCCCTGAAAGCCAATATTCAGCGGACTTCGAATTAAGAAATTGTCGATATAACCCAGAATTTCATCCTGAAAAATTCTTCTCAGACATGCGAAGGTTGGTAACCAAAGCGTTTGGTCCAACCAACGATTCCCTCTTTCTCAATCTTGTTCTCCAACACATCCCTCGACATATCAGAGATGATATTTATACTCTCGGCATAAATGATGATAAAACAAGAATTTATAATCATTTAACTCGCATTCATTTTGATTACAAAAATAATCAAAATCGCCAAAAAGTTCAGAAATCAATCCCCTCGAAAAATCCCAACTCAAATCAATCGAATGAAAAATCTTCAGTTGCTCGAATGTTAAAATCTAACAATCCCCATTACTCTAACTCTAATTATAAAAGAGCCCAAAACAGTTCATCATCCGCACCTAAAGATGCAAAGTTTTGCAACTATTGTAAAGGTGATGACCACACTATTGATGTTTGCTCTAAATTAGCCTACCGAAAAGCTCAAGAAGCCGCAGGAATTAAACCCCCTTACCAAAGAAAAGATCAGAATTACCCTCGTCAACAATTCAATCCCACCGTTACTCAAACTAATCTCGCTACCCTAGTAGGTCAAGATCAACCAACTCCTCAGGTACAACTTCCTCCTCAACCGATTAATACAATAGTTACCGTTCCCCAAAATCTTACTAACCCAATTCAGTTTGATTACCGTCCTCCCTCTCCTCCCGAACCAATGCAAAGTGGACTCCGTGGTAATGTTGGATTTGCCATATCTAAGGATATCAAGCAAATCTCACAACTCAATACCAATCGCCCACACCCCATTAACCTTACTCTCTGTCTCCCCGATAAATCCCGAGTTCAAGAAGGAAAAGTTCTAGTTGATACTGGCGCTTCTGCTTGCGTGATTGATGCTGGTTTAGCTTCTTACCTTCAAGCTCATATTATTCGAGTAAATCGAACTCTAAAAGGAATTGCATCCGGAGTTTATGTAGACTCTTTTGGTTTCTCTTACGCTATCTTTAAGCATGACGGAATGGATGAATCAAGAATCATCAAGTTCCAAATTTGTGACAAATTTGAGCCTGTCTTCTTATTAGGAAATGCTTTTCTTCATGTTTTTTATATGACACTGAATTCAGATGGAAATGAATATAACATTTCAGTGAAAGAAAACCCCAATTCTCCTGAATTAACCAATCCCGATTTTACTTCCGATTCTGTACTCCGATGAAACTGATTTCATCATCGAAACTTCTATTAAAGTTACTGGTAATGCTGCTTCTGATTACATCTTGGATTCTAATCCAGTTCCTCATCTCATTCGGCTTCAACAATTAATCCTCCTCCAATCATCATCCAAATCTAACAACAATTAACATTCACCCTGATAATCAAAATTTAAAACTTTCCTCAACACTCACTAATTGCGCGGTGTATGCTAACTAGTGAATCTGAACTTAACGAATCTAAAATTCAACCTCTTCTTGACAAAATTAAGTCGAGAATCAATCCAAATCTCAATCCCTCTCAACAAGATGAACTTTTAAAACTTTTCGAAAGTTATCAAGACATTTTCTCCCAACACAAAAATGATCTTGGATTTGTCTCTTCAACTGTTTGCCCAGTTAAAATTGATCTCGAAGATCAAATCATTCCGTACCAAAAACCATACAACTGTAATATCCATCGTCGTGGAGTTTTCCGTGAGATCATTAATGACATGATCGAACATGATCTGATCGAACCCTCTGATGCTCTCGGAGGTGCCCCTTCATTATTGGTTCCTCGATCAGATGGTACCCATCGAATGGTGACCGACTACCGGTTACTCAACAGACTCACTAAAATCCCAAGGTACCCTGAATAGACGATTGTCTTGAAGTCGTCCGCGGTGGTAAATTTTTCAACCTTTTTGACCTGGCACAAGGTTACCATCAAATTGAGCTTCCTCCCTCCGAACGAGAGAAAACTGCTTTTGTAACACCCGATGGTAAGTACCAATATAAGCGACTCCCTATGGGACTTGCTGGTGCTCCCTTTATCTTCCAACGTTTTATGAACAAAGTTCTGGAAGGACTTCAGTACGTCAATTGTATTGGATACTTTGACGATATCCCTGTTGTTGGTGTAACTTTTTACGATCTCATCAATAATACTAAATTGGTATTAGATCGATTAAGAAAATATAACCTAAAGGTTAAACCAGAAAAGTGCCACTTCGGTGAAACCGAAATC